ATAACTGGATTCGTTTATCTGAAATGGAAAATAAAGTATGCTCAGAACAGATGCAAATCCAAGATGAAGCCACACTCGCTTTAAAAGCACATTGCACAGCAAGAAACCAAACAATGTAGACGAATACTTTCTCATGTCCTCACGGCAGTGAGAACATAATGAAAACTTCTTACATTAAGAGTTAGTTCCTGCAAGGTAGAGACAGCATAAACCTCTTGAAACAAAATTACGTGACCTAATACAAAGTAGATTAAACCTAGTTTGTATTTGCTTTGGGTTTCTCTTATGTCAACTCTGCATTTACCTAAGTATCACTAGTTTTTTTTTTTTTTTTTAAGCTCTCCTCTGAAATTCTAGCACTTCTAGGTATGTATGTAAGGATACTTATTTTTAAAACTGTTTCTAGCTGTGACTAACCATGCTCTGCAATATAGCAAGAGCACAATCCATGGGTAAACAATATTTCTGTACTTACTTTTAATTGACCCAATATTTTGCTGCAGTGAGGAACTGCTTTTTAAAAAACAATTAGACAGTAGGTCAAGCTTGCTGGAAGCAAGCTTTCAGGTTAACCTAACAATTTATATACAGATACATACAGTAAGACAGTTATGTATTTTGTACTTTCTTACTAACCAATTAAGGAACTGACAGGATTGTTCTCTTCAACAATACTAGCAATTTGACCCATTAAGTTATTCTGCATTTCTGTATTAAGAGTTGGGAGATCTCTTTCAGAGAGAGATCTGTTCACTTTGCTGCAAATCTGGACACCGATAGCATTCAGAGCCTCTTTCAAATCAAAAGTTCTGGAAGAAAAAGAAAAATAATTAACTTCTGCAATTCCTGTAGCACAGTTCACAAGTTATTTAAACTCACTCCTCTCCTTTCCCCTTGCTATTTTCAAGCTGCTCCTTCCAATCAGAAAATTTAGGAAGTTTATCATTTGCTTTTGCAGATTTACATGCTTCCACAGACACAGGACAAATCTCCATGTGCAAGACAAAATAAGGATGCTAACTGGGATGCAGACAGGAAAGTCATTTTAAATATGCATCAAAAAGACACCAGTTCTCTTTGATCATATACTTCGGTATTTTACTGGGCTGGATTCATAGCATGTCACAGGGACAGTAAGAGAGTTTACCATTCTTTAGGGAGACTCTTGGAGATAGCAGCACACTTGCTCATAGCGTGACTGGTAGCAGAAATATCAGCAACTGAATAACTTTAACTACCTTTATAACTAGTTTGAAGCAACTGGTAAGACAACTTTGTGAACATATTGCCAGTCTCTCCTCTGTTATGAGGAGAAACTAATAAGTTTCAGTGCTATCCTCCAAATTCAGGAGATTAAAAGTTAAGTCAAGTTTAATTAAAATATAACTTTGAAAACACATACTTGACAGATACAGCAGACATAGTAGTGAATACAAATATAGATTAAGATTCATTATCATTCTATCATCATTAGGCACAAGCTAAGACATTTTTAACTGTTTCCTACATTTTTCAGATCCACCTGGTATCTCCTGTGGTTTAAAAAAAAATAAAAAGAAAATAAGAAAAAAAGGCCTTACTTCTTGTTCATGCCTTCAAGAAGAGGAAAAGAGATCCTCTTCAGTTGGTCAGCAAGATCTGGCACATTTACAATTGCTGCACCCACCGTATTGTTTGTTATGAGACACACACAAGCTATGATTTTTAATTGATTTAGCTTTTCTCTCAACTCCTGAAGACGAGCTTCATCTGTTATTAGAGTCTAGAAGTGAAATATCATCAGTTTAGAAATAGAGAGGGAGAGAGCCAGGGATAAAGACAGAGAAGAGATTTTTATAAAGTATTAATAATTATAATTACAAATAGGCCAAGTCAGAAGAGGCAACAACTGAAACCCTGACTACGCAGTATTACGGAAAGTAGCATTACACATAAGTACCAGAGCCACATCTGTGGTAGGCAGGAGAGGTGTTATCTCCAGTGCAAAAACACTACGTTGAGGACATTGCATATTTTTCCTCATCACTGCTCACAGCAGTCTGTGCTCCACAATTCAGCCCAAGATGTGGAATGCTCAGGGGATCCAGAGGACATTGACAACAGTCTTCTGGATTCAGCAGTGTCTTTTGGAAAGTATCATGATCTGAAGCAGATGGGCAGTGATGAGCAACTGTGTTTGACAACCACTAGTTCAATCACCAGAGAGGTTTGAGTTATCTGTAGCCGGCTACAGACAAAGAGCCGATTGCTCATCAGATCAAGACTGTAAATAACTTCCACAGCAAGATATAGCTGGAGTGATTTTTTAAGCTTAAAAGAAAAAAGGTCATCCTAAGCAAAACACACCACTGAGAAGCACCGGGGCATTAACCTTCAGCTGGCTGATATTAATTCATACCATGACACGCTAGATCCACAAGAGAATACCTGTGTCTAGCTCATACTCAGAACTGTGGGATGCAGGTAAGAAAGTAACTGATTCTTTCAGCCTGATCCTACTAATTCCTG